AAATTATTGGAATATCACAAGTACTTAATGAATTGCGGGTATGAAATTAATATGTATTTTTTAAATAAATGAATGATAGAAATAAAATTTTCTACGTGCAATATATTTGTCTTGGATTCTGTTTTGATAATGAAGTACTTGCACACTTTACATGGCAGCGATCTACTTGTAATCAAATAAATCTTTCACGGCAATGCCGTTGCCATAGCGATGCAAATAGAGTTGCTCTAGAATTTCGCATGGGACCCGGTCTCCTTTCTTCTTCTTTCTTGCCATTGCTAACAGTAATAATTTTAAAGTTCGCAGGAATCGGGTTTACTGCTGAAGTTCGTTATAGCTCGCGTTCATATTCTTCCAAACGAACTACGTACACGAATACACCAACCTATAATATTTTTAATATCATTTTAAGCATTATTGAGATATAATCTTATGTATACACAGAATTAAGAAAGCATTAACTACTGCAAATTGGTAATCAATCATCTATCAATCTATCTATCTATTATCTATCTATCTATCTATCTATCTAATCATATCATCTATCTATCTATCTATCTATCTATCTATCTATCTATCTGTCTGTGTAGCTATCAATCAATCAATCTTTCTATCTATCAATCTACCTATTCTATACCTATCAATCAATCTATCAATCCATGCAACCATCCATCATTGATGCTTCCATGTGTGTATGTTAGTGTGTGTGTGTGTGTGTGGTGTAGTGTGTGGTGTGTGTGTGTGTGTTGTGTGTGTGTGTGTTGTGTGTGTGTGGTGTGTGTGTGTTGTGTGTTGTGTGTGTGTGTGTGTGTGTGTCTGTGTGTGTGTTGTGTGCTGTGTCTGTGTCTGTGTGTGTGCTGTGTGTGTGCGTGCGCGCATCCGTCCGCGCGTGCGTGCGTGCGTGCATATCTGTGTGTGTGTGTGTGTGTGTGTGTGTGTGTGTGTGTGTGTGTGTGTGTGTGTGAGTGCGTGCGTGCGTGCGTGCTTGCTTGCATGTGTGTGTTCGCGTGCCTGGGGCAGCGTAAATCCACGTGCCAAAATGTGTTTTGGGAAGGTGGCTGCCAATAATCATGTCATGTATTCACATTTATCGGGGGGTGCGTGGAAACTGCCCCCCTTCCTCCTCCTCCTCCTCCTCCTCCTCTCGCTCTCTCTCTCGCTCTCTCTCTTCCTCAGCACTTGGGGCTACGTGACCGAGCCGGGGGTAGCGGGATGGCAGGTAAACATGAGTTCATCGGGCGAGTCAACGTGAAATGACAGGTGCGATAAGGCTATCATGGGCGATGGCTGGATTTTATAGTGCACACGAACTGAACCCATAAGAAATTTGGCGAGTAGAAAATTCCACGTACTGACTCCATGATATAGAGCCTTCATATAGTATGAGAGATCGCAGTAACGCCATTTATATTGTAGCGTTGAATAAATTCAAGTCGGTTATAAAGCGAACAGTAGGATTGTCACAGGGAAAACGTTGTTATATTTCGCACAGCACATTGTCGTCATAACCTGCCACGTTCTCTCTCTGCGTCCCTTTTTATACCTCTGGGCGTGCCCTTACCGAAGGGATCCCTTAATCTCGCCTCGCCGTCCGCTTCGGCCATCGCCCCTATTGGTTCGACGCCGGACATTAGTATAACGAGTGACCACCGGGTCTATCTTACGTCAGTTTGGACTGTGTCCAAACCGAACCCTTTGGTCCTTGGCTGGCTGCCAAACTGTCCCCGGTAACGTTTATTCTGCATGCGTTGCTTCGTAACAGTGGCTAATTATTTTAGCCCACTCTACTGCGTGCTCGCTACAATCTAACACCTTCTGTGCCCTCTAAACTAATCGCCCATCTGCCGTTGGCATAATTACCAATCTTCTAAGCGTTGCGATGTTAATTATTCAATGTGCTGTTGGACGCTTCTATAATTGTCGTCCCTCTAACTAATTTCTCTAATACTCGTGCCACTATCGCCTATGCTCCCTATTTCGACATTTCAATATTAATTTCCGCTCTCATAATTTTTGCTTCATCACACTATCATGAGCGATTGCTGGATTTTATAGTTCGCACGAACTGAACTCGGTTATATAGAGCGCTTAAATCTTATTCGAGATGCCTATACGATAAATACATGGCAAATATTATACTTGTAAACATATATATTAACACACACAGACACACACACACACACGCGCGCGCGCGCACACACACACACACACACACACACACACACACACACACACACACATATGTGCGTAGTGTCTTATGCGCTAGGTGTGACGTGCCAAGCGTCGCATCCTGTCGCCACCGTTTGCTGAATACAATAATTGGCGCCTACTGTCTGACACCTGCAATAGATAAAACCGGTTAGAAATTACTGGCTGAATGCAGCTTTCAAACCTTCAGCTGTCAGTGACTCCATTAATTAATTAATAACTAGTTTATTTATAACATTTGTTGTAACAAAATTTCGTATATTTGTACCGTTTGTTGTAATAGCGTCATCCAATGACCTTGCTAGCGTGCATAGGATTGACCATAGTTCGTGTTTTAGTGCTATTGTTCAAGAATATTCACTTGAGAGTATCACGTGATAAAGAATACCTGATAATTCGTTTTACGAGACTATGCGGACACGAGTAACAAGAGTGGGCTATGTGGTGTACGTAGTACAGCCAGGTTTATAAAGCCGCACGATCTGATGGCAGTTCATTGATTGGAGACGGAGCGAAATTGTTTCGGTAGCAATTAGTTTATAATGGAAGTGTCGCGCATCAGTGTGTTGTATTTTATCGTATGTTGTAAGTATAGTGTATCATAATTAAATTCTATCAGGGACGAGGGTTTGTGAAAGGGTACAGTCTATATGCTGATTTACCAAGCCAAAGACTGCATGTTCTAGCAGAGTTATTAGACAGACGGTTGCTTTCATGAGTATTGTGCGTATATTCAGTATTTAGTATATTGTAATTCATCCTGTCGTATAGTTTTGATATTGTACCGATGTTTAAAATGAGCGAAGTCTGATATTATCTCTGGTAACGTAATCTTTTGATTGTTTAATTTCTATATAGTAACTTCTGATATTTTCTGAATGCTTTGTATTTAGTAATCTTGGTGATTATCTTTCAGTTAATCGTCAAGTCTACGTCTTATGCATTAAAGACAATATTACCTGTCAAGGAGCTGTCTCCGTGTTTTATGGTAATTTCGGGACAGCCATAACATTTATGTATTTATTCATTCATTCATTCATATTTTTATTCATTAATTTATTTATTTATCACTTCTTGTAAATTATTGTGATATCACAAGTACTTAATGAATTGCGGGTATGAAATTAATATGTATTTTTCAAATAAATGAATGATAGACTTTCGTGTAATTTCAAAAAATTTCTACATGCAATATATTTTTGTCTTGGATTCTGTTTTGATAATGAAGTACTTGCACACTTTACATGGCAGTGATCTACTTGTAATCAAATAAATCTTTCACGGCAATGCCGTTGCCATAGCGATGCAAATAGAGTTGCTCTAGAATTTCGCATGGGACCCGGTCTCCTTTCCTTCTTTCTTCTGCCATTGCTAACAGTAATAATTTTAAAGTTCGCAGGAATCGGGTTTACTGCTGAAGTTCGTTATAGCTCGCGTTCTATATTCTTCAAAACGAACTACGTACACGAATACACAACCTATAATATTTTTAATATCATTTTAAGCATTTATTGAGATATAAATCTTATGTATACACAGAATTAAGGAAGCATTAACTAACTGCAAATGGTCAATCAATCAATCTATCAATCTATCTATCTATCTATCTATCTATCTATCTATCTATCTATCTATCTATCTATCTATCTATCTATCTATCTGTGTATCTATCAATCAATCAATCTTTCTATCTATCAATCTACCTATCTATACCTATCAATCAATCTATCAATCCATGCAACCATCCATCCATTGATGCTTCCATGTGTGTATGTTAGTGTGTGTGTGTGTGTGTGTGTGTGTGTGTGTGTGTGTGTGTGTGTGTGTGTGTGTGTGTGTGTGTGTGTGTGTGTGTGTGTGTGTGTGTG